CGCCGAGTAATTCAGTCCATGTCGTAATTTAAAAATACGTAAACTAATTATTTCAACGTTCAGTCAGTTACGATAATGTTATCTTTATGTTGTAATTCAATGTTGGTACAGATAATTAAGTAGATAATAATTAAATTTAATTTAATCACGCCAGATTTTGATCGTAATGAATTAATTCGATAATATTTTAATACTGGGATTATGATTATGAGCGAATATAATATATCTAGTTAATATTTACTAGAGACTGCGAGTAAGATATAGAGATTGTAGTAGAATGGCAGAAATAGGTATATTTTGTTACTGACATTAAATAACCTAGGATAAGGTCTGAAAAAAAAACACAAGTGTATGAGATAGTGATGAGGCTTACGAAACGAAGACGGAGAGGAATAAGATTTAATATGAGTACCTTAGAATGAGATGATAAATGAATAAAACGTTATTGACAATTTCTAGGTAACACTTTCTTGGTCATACAAAGCAATGGCTGTATACATTCAGACACCTCTACCCTTCCTTTTTGAACCTAACGGGTAACCGGGGCTCCGGCTCGACGTGCAGGAGAAGGAACGGGGTGGTTTTTAGTCAGTAAGAGTCTGACACTCCCTCCCGCGTCACCCAGGCGGGAGCAGTCATTCGATGATTTTCCCCCCTTAAAAAAAAAAAACCCTTCCTTTTTAGTGGGATGGTGTGGCAAAGTGTGAGAGAGCCATGCTTCGGCACGAATGGTTCGGTTCGACCGGATCACCGGAGTGATACCACGGCCTCGCAGAAAACCAACCTGAAACTACCTGTGTTGTGTTTCGTTGGATGAGTGAGGTTACCGGAGTCCCAATTACCCTCCTCCCCAATCTCCTCAATCCTTGAATCAAAAACTCAAATTCCTAATCCCCAAATGGCCGGTAACGCATTTGTAACGCCTCTGGTGTATGTCCATGGGCGGTGCCGATTGCTTACTATTAGATGTTCATATGATTGACTCCAGGCTTATCCTATAAAAAAAAATTGCATACGGGTCTGATGGTATAGCGATTGGAGTTGAGTTGAAACGCGAATTAGGCCTCTGGTGTCCTCCGCAAGGGTTGTTTTATGGCGGTTTTCTGTGAGGCCGTGGTATCACTACGATTAGGTATAACAATATAGACAAAGCAGATAAAATCTAGTATTTCTTAAGTGGTTTGAGTTGGACATTGAAGGTTTATACTAGATTGAAGTTAATTATCCTTTTGACTGATAGTAAGATATCTTGAGAGAATCAATAGCTGGAAGGTAATATAAGAGATGGGCGCAATGGAGACAATGAAGTTTAATTACTGAACTGCAACATGAGAGGTTTAATCGTATTGGTGTTGGTTTTCGCTAGTGCTGCAGGTATTTTTACTAAATTGTTTTTAAATACCATTAATTTAAGTTTCTTTTTATGTTTCTTATTAGGTACTTTTCTTACTTAACTTCATTTAATATTTTTGTGACTCGGGTTTCAATTCGAAAATGGATTACCCCTGCTTTACGTGGTATTGTAATATGCATTTCTTGTCATTTATATGTCTACTAGCTTTTACCCGCGGCAAATTCAAAGCAATCGGTTCAGTAGTTACGGCGTGAAAGCGGAACAAACAAACAAACTCACTTTATTTTTAATATTAGTAAGGATATTTTATTTACTTTTTCATTTCAAATTTTAAATTTTAAAAATATACTACTTTTTTTTATTTGAAACGTTGCCTCGCTCTAGGTTTTTCTTCTATGTCGTGGGTGCGTTTACAAACATACAAGTTCACATACACATGACACCCAGACCCGAAGCAACAATTTGGTGATCACACAAAGAGTTGTTCCGTGCGGGAATCGGATCCGCGCACGTTGCGCGGCAGTCAGTTGCTCAACCACCGCACCGACCGTGCAGTCAAGTCAAGTCAGCTTTAGATATTTATATTTCATTATATAATGAGAACAAAACGTACAGGGTACTAACAAATTACGAGTATCACTTAAAAACTACTCACAAAGAATATATTACTATTCATACAAAGAGCTTTAGTTTTTGAGTGTTTTAAATGTATTATACTAGCGACAGCCCCGGCTTTGCACGGGTGCAATATGCATATATTATACATATAAACCTTCATTATGAATCACGTTTTAAAGATCTAACCATACTTAAGGACAGACAGACGGCAGATAGCGACTTTGTTTTATACTATGTCGTGAGTAATATTTGGATATTAATAAACTTTTGGTGTAAGATATACTTAAAATATACAATAGAAAAGGTAATATATTTTGTAGAAGTAGACGCCTACTAAAAAATATATTGCAACCACACGTTTAACAAAACTAAAAAATATCACTGTCATAAAAATACAGATAAGCTATTTACTCAACAATATAAGATTGCGAAGTAAAAATGCTTGCAATGAGTAAACATAAAGGATAAAGGTGGACCGGCACAATAGGGTGTTTTTAAGCAAAATTTCTCAGAAGGCGATAAAGGAAAATGCGAAATGCGTTAATGTGCCGTTTTGTGGATGAACCACTAACCCCTTTTTCCTGTCCCTTTTTATAAAAAGCAGCATTTACATCTTTTGTAATAGCTGGTTTGTGTTGTGATTGCTTCCTTGGCTTAAGAACACGGGACCTTGGGTTCGAATACGATTTAGGTTAAGTATTATTTGAAATTGATATTATATAGTTCGAGAAGACTTTTTTTGCCCTACACTAGTATTCTTTCCTGTGTCTTACGTGCGTTTACAAACATATAATTTCACATAAACATGTTACCCAGACCCGAAATAACAATTTGTGGATCACACATAGAGATGCTCCGTGTAGAAACCAGCTACATGTTGCATGGCAGCTGGTTGCCCAGCCACCACCTCAACCGTGGAGTCCAGTTTGAATTCGCGCTGTGTTTAGGAACTTAAATAAGTAGTGATTTACTCATTCACAAATTTTGAATCAGTCTGTTCAGTGGTATGTGGAATTATTTGTTTGTATACGCAATCTATTTAAAAGTGTATTTAAGTGTGGCCGGCTCGACCGGACTAATACCAAGGCCTCACAGAAAACCGACGTGAAACAACGCTTGCGTTGTGTTTCGTCGTGTGAGTGAGGTTACCGGCGGCACAATTACCCCCCTAATTAGTCCTCGTCTCCCGAATCCCTGAATCCTCCACAATCATCAAATTCCCGATTCCCAAAAGGCCGGTAACGCACTTGTAACGCCTTGGTGTTTCGAGTGTCCATGGGCGGCGCCGATTGCTTACCATCAGGGGTGATCCGTCTGCACATTTACCAGCTATAAAAAAATTGCAACACAGGAGAAAATACTAGTGTGGGAAAACGTTTTTAAAAAGAGAAAAAGAAGATAATTTATTATGTCCGAGGGTGAAACCTAAACCGGACTTTGTGCTAATATTTTTAACCGAACATTATCTTTTTAATACCTCTAGAATCCTTTAAGTACCTAAACACTTACGATAAGAAATCCTGCCTTGACTTGTTAATAAATGAAAACCTTGAATACAGCGTGGATGAAAGATTTGAAGAGTATGTTCACTTGAACGATAAGTGACATCCACTTCAAGTCTTAGATTTGTTACAAAGCTGTCTGTACTAGGTTCATCAGATGGTATAAGTACGCTGTGTTGTATGTTTTTTAACTACAATTACAATTTATTAATGTTGTGGTGGCCCAGAGATTTAAGACGCCCGCTTCTCCTACACGAGCCGCAGGTTACTCCTACCAACGGCAAGTACCAATGTAACTTTTTCCGAGTTATATGTACATTCTAAAATTATTTAGACACCACTGACAAACGGTGAAGGAAAATATTGTGAAGAAACCTGGGTTTAAAATTTCTAATAAGTTTAAAATTGCCAACCCGCATTTAGCAAGCGTGGCGATTAATGCTCAAACCTTCTCCGTGTGTGAAGAGGCCTTTGGTCAGCAGTGGCCACTTGTAGGCTGTTGATGATAATAAAGATGAACCACATTTCAAAGAGGGTGTTCGCAAAGTCGTATTGGTCTTCAGTCTTCACTCGATGAAACAGTTATATATTTTTCCTATCCTCAAGAACTGACGTAACTGCCAAGTTTCTTCCATAAATACTTAAATAACTGCTGCAGGACTTTGAGTAAATTTAAGATGAGACCTTGAATGTTATAGGTACCTGTAACAAAAGAAAACTCAGTATTAAAGTGAGCTCAAAAGGCTAATAAAAGTTATGAAAATTGTAGCGCGAGATATGTTTATAAAATGTTTTTTATTGACCATAAACAATAATCTTCATTACATTCTCCTTTTATGTGGGAACGTAAAAGTTTATAATAGCAAAGAGATTTAATTAACACTTAAAGAAAATCCTAAAATTTCAAGTATGAGAAGTGGGTTAATGTTGGTAATGAAATACGAAGTCATATTATACCTTTGTTCTGGTTACTTGTTGGAATAACACTTAGAGAAAATTTTTGCTCAAAATTATTAACTAAGCCACAGTCTTATTAAATACACAGATATACATAACACCACGCCTTTTACCCCTGAAGGGATAGGCAGACGTACGCATTGTGGCACTTAATGCCACTGTACAATGTAACACCCACTTTTCACTATTTAAGTTACGAGTCCCATGTAATAAAGAGGGTGAGCCTATAGGCATACACCGCGCACAATTCCAAGCTCCGTACAACTACTGAGATAAAAAAAAACCGTTAATATTTTGCCCGATCCGGGAATCGCCCCGGGACACAATCGCGAACCAATGAGGCATAGACAACAGTATAATTACGTATTTATTATTATTCATTAATGTTAATTCATATATAAATTAGCATAGCATGCAATGTATATGTTACAATTGATAATGAATTGCTTTAGCTGCATTGGTAACTTTTTAGAAAAAAGCATTGAAACATTGAACTGTAACATATCGCCATAATATTGTATTCAATTAATAGATAAAAATCTTTGAAATCAAATTATAGTATCATAAGTTTGTATTTTGTTTTAGCCGTTCCTGCGAATCCAATGAGAATAGTTGGAGGAAACCTGACTACAGTGGAACAGTACCCAACTATCGCTGCTTTGCTTTATTCTTTCTTCGGAACGAGCTTCAGCCAGTCCTGCGGTGGAACTGTCCTCAACAAGAGATCTATCCTCACTGCCGCTCATTGCCCTTAGTGAGTACTGAGTATTCATAAGTACATCTGTTCAATATAGTTATTTCAAATCTCAGCATTCTTTAAAAAATTGCGTTCTTCTTACCAAACTTGCATATTTTTTTTATTGCATAAGCCGGTAAACGTGCAGACGGATCACCTGATGGTAAGCAATCGGCGTCGCCCATAGAAACCTGGAACACAAGAGGCGTTACAAGTGCGTTACCGGCCTTTTGGAGATTAGGAGTTTGAGGATCGTTGGGGATTCACGAATTGGGGAGATTGGGAAAGGGGAGGGTAATTGGGCCTCCGGCAACCTCAATCACACGACGAAACACAACGCGAGCGTTGCATCACGTCGGTTTTCTGTGAGGCCGTGGTATCACTCCGGTCGAGTCGGCCCATTCGTGCCGAAGCATGGCTCTCCCACACTTTAATTTCAGTAGCTTTTGGGGAAAAAACTAGGGAGTGTGACGAATAGACCAGACCAGCTCCGGAACCAAACTGTGCAATCTCTTGCGGGGAACGTTGATGCGCCTAAGAAGGTTATACATATACGCTAAAACAACAGTTTCTCTTGAGACTGTGTCTCTCTGGAAAATTAAAATTGTCCTACTGGCGTCTGTACGTTTGGTATAATTCTATTATTTTTACAAATACATTTTTTTTTCAGTGGCGATACAACAGTAAATTGGCGTGTTCGAGTAGGGTCTACCTTTGCCAATAGTGGTGGGATCGTGCACACATTGACCGCCATTTTCATCCATCCTAAGTTCAATCAGCGTATCATTGATTATGACGTGTCAATCCTAAGAACTAGTGACGTCATCGAGTATGGAAATGTGGTTCAACCTGCTTTAATAGCTGGGTCTTCGTATAACCTTCCTGATAATGCGGTTGTGTGGGCAGCTGGATGGGGCACTACTTCTGTGAGTTTTATTGAAAGAAACAACCTATTTTAATTGAAACATGTAAATTGTTTTACGCTAGATGAGCCGCTACGCAACACCTTGCGTTTTTATTCTTTGAAGGGGCTTGTAAACATTTATCTACTGGAATTTAAAAAGCTAAAATCAAGCGCATGCATTGACGACATAATTTTCTTTTGTTTTATAAATTTCTGTGAATAAACATAATTAACAGTATGATTTCGTCTTCCTAGTCTGGTGGCTATCCTTCAGAACAACTACGACATGTGCAGCTCTGGACTGTGAACCAAGGATTATGCAAGTCTCGATATGGAATCCGAAATTTGAACATCACTGACAACATGCTGTGTTCCGGATGGTTGAACGTCGGTGGTCGTGACCAGTGCCAAGGAGATTCTGGTAGTCCTCTCTACCACAATGGAGTCGTTGTTGGCGTCTGTTCATGGGGCGTTGGCTGTGCATCTGCTCAGTACCCTGGAGTCAACTCCCGAGTGTCTCGATTCACAAACTGGATTCAAAGTCAAGCGAGACTTTAAAAAAAAATGTTTATAAATACAAATTGTGTTTTTAAAAGTGTTTTATTTTATAGATTGAATTCTGTACAGTAAGTTCATCTATTGTGTAAATAAATAATTAGATATTAAGATGTTTTTATGACGCGTGATAAATAAAATATCAAGGCATTTTCTATTTAAAACATGAAGATTTGCTATCAAAGTTGTGTTGCTAGATTTAAATATTTATAGCAAAATTACACTAACTCGCATTAGTTAACAAACTGGTCAAACAAATTAGGCGTAAACTAAAAAAAGAAAAGTAGAATCATCTTTTATTTAGAGACTTTTTCTAAGTTGTGATATGTTTAGTTCACAAAGATTAATGTGGGCATCGAAAAGGGTCTGCCATTTTGGAAGTACATAAGTTATTCCGTCCCTTTGAGTTGAATTATTCGAAATCGACGCATTAATTTGTCAAAGAAAAACGTTACTTATTGAGTAGAACAAAAATTATTGCGTATATATCTCAGGTCTACTGTAGAGTATAGTTAGGTATATTCATTAGTTTTTTTATATTTTTTTAGGGGGAAAAATCATCGAATGACTGCTCCCGCCTGGGTGAGGCGGAAGGGAGTGTCAGACTCTTACTGACTAAAAACCACCCCGTTCCTTCTCCTGCGCTTCGAGCCGGAGCCCTGGTAACTCGTTAAGTTCTCCGCGACTCCGAATCGGCATCAGCCCTGTTGGTCCCATTCGTGGTGGTCTGATAAGGCGCGCGCGGAACGCGACGCGCTGTACGCTCGGGTCTGTTTCTGGTCGGACGGGGAGCCACCCATGTTTGCCGTCCGCAGGCCCGCGCTTACGGTGGCCGGAGATCGTCCGTTGCGAGGAGGCAGCGTTTCGCTGCCTTACGCATCCCGCCTCCTCTTTAGCTAGCATAACTACTTCATATTCATTAGTTTAGATTTTGTATCGTTACCAATAATAAGACCTTAAAATAAATAACGATATTGAATTATTATTCTTGCAATTATTTGTTTGATTTTTATCAGGCGTATGTATAATTTGTACATAAATATGACTCTAAGTGGTATTATAGTATCAGGATGTAACTATTTATAGTTCAAGGCCTTTATACATCATGAAGATAATCACATTGCTCAGTAGGTACCTATACTCTCAAGCACGAGTCTGCGGACAACTTAACGGTTTAACGGTTAAAAGCAGGAGTAGGAATGAGGTGGTTATTAGTCAGTAAGCGTCTGACACTCTCCCTTCGCCTCATCCAAGGGGGAAGAAATCATTGGATGTTGTTTCCCCCTTAAAAAGAAGATAGGTATTTACGTTAAAGATGATTTCAGATTACGGTTTCAATGATAAGGTCACGATTTAAATGGTCATCTTATCTCTTTTTACGTGCCCAAAGGAAATATTTAGAGCGCCTGCCATAATCTATAATATCTGTTGCAGAAATAAATAAACGCATAAAAATTAAAACAATTGATTTTATTTCTTTGAACCAAAACATGGAGTATATAACTGCTTCTTTCTTTAAGTACAAATAAAATTAGGTCATACATCCTTGCACGAAGGTTAGAAATATAGTTTATCATTTTAGATACTGAAAATAAAGCCGATGGGCTCAGACTTCAGACTATTTTGTAACCATCCAAGAAGGTTAGATATGGATAGACAAAGTAGCTTCATTAGTACTAATTATCTTTCATTTTATCTCTTAACTTTATTAGTTAAATTGTTATTGGGTTAGATTTTGTATAAATAGGAGTTAATTTATGAATTTATTTAGAAGACCGGTGGGCAAAGAGTCACGATGCGTGTTTGTATTGCTTTATTGGGCTGCATAGCTGCCGTTACAGGTATGTTCGATTCTTTGATAGTTTCATTATCGTTATCATCGTCGAGCACTGTTTCTGTCTACCCCTGAGCATAAAACCCTCCAACAGCACATCTCTGATTGACTGACTGACTGTTCCATTTTCAACTCTTCGCATTCAGCTTCTAGCCATATAACGCGCGCCGCAAAGAGCCATCATACCACCACAAATGGGGCCTAGGGCTGATCCGATACGGAGCCGCAAAGGACTTAACGGGTTGCCGGTGTAGGAACGTGGTGGTTTTTAGTCAGTAAAAGTCTGACACTCCCTCTCGCCTCACCCAGGCGGGAGAAGTTATGGAAGTCCCCTTAGGACTGATACCGAAGTGAAGCAACAATTTTTTTTTTATAATATTGCAAATTAATTCTCCACGTACCTAGAGGTCCGTGCCCTTGTCATACAATTTTTTTTAAATTATAATACATCTAGTCAATTCTTATAAAGTAAAGAGGGTACCTAGTTACACACTACAATTAACTACATCTATAATTATTACCAAAAGTATAAATTATATAATAGTTAGGCATTATCTACTTATAAGGCTTCATGAAATCAGCCCACCAACAAGATGGGAAAGCCGCCCTGACCCAGCAGAAGGCACCCGTTCACGAGTATGACGTGTGTGTCAGCAATTGGTCCGGTAACCTTTTTATTGGGAACGGAACAACCCAATACACAGCGCCACCGACTGTAGGACATTTATGTGTGCATGACGCCTCAACCCTTGCCACGTTGTCCGATTCCAATAAAGCTTACAATAGTCCAACTATTTAAGTTGCTGTTACTTACATTAAACTTCGACAATGACCCTTTGTTCATTGTGGTAACTTAAAAGGTACAATGCATTCAAGATTCGATTTTATAATTTATTTGAATTATATCTGTACTAATCTGCTGCCTTGATAATATGACATAGCAAAATGTTGTTTATGTACTTTTTTCAGAACTTTAAGGACGAGGGTGCAATATAAATAAATAATTAGGAACAGTTTTCTAAATAACTATTTTCAAAAAATATGCTCTAATTGTGTACTTATTAAGCACTATTAATTAAGGAAAATAGATTCGATAATGAATTTTAAACCTTATACATATATCGCTGGTTAAATAAAAAAATGAAGTAATTCAGAAACGACAAATTTTACGGTACAAAATTTTAAAGTTTTTTATTTCATTAAAATTAGTTTGAATCTAAAATCACACTTGCGACATCTAGTGAACGCGAAGTGAACTATTTAAACTGTCGTATTCACATATAAACTAGTCTTGTTAGTAGACGCGTTTTGTGTAAAAAAGTGATTATCCAAAAAAATAATTAAGAATGCCATTGTTCCATTTATTCGGCGATGTGTCCGTAAAGCAACATCCATCTTTCCATCATTGTACATACATATTTATTCTAGTCTTGAAACACCCTAATAAAACCTTGTGTGAAACCGATCCCTATTTCCAATACTATTATAAGGACCCTGAATAAAATAGTTTTCGTTTACAATATGGTAACCAATAACGCCAAGAAGTATCGAATAGCTGAGTAAAGTTCTGCTTATCCTTTTTTCATATTCAAATAAGCGTTCACTCGGTTCTATAGATGTGTTTTCTTGCATAAAAAGCTTGAGTTTCCAGGTCATATTATGTTAGGAATAACTTTATTTTTTTGAAAACTTTGACTGACTAGGTACATAATATATTATAGTTGAACTCGAGTTCTTGGATTTTGTTATCGATTTGGGCTAATTGAAATTGTTGTTGATTTCCGATTTTTTTATGGTTAGATAGCAAGTAAGATAGGAGGCAAACAAGAAGATGAATCAGCTGATGGTAAGCGATCAATTAGTTGTCCATCAATTGTCCTATCGTTGTTTTACATTAGGTTGGTATAATTTAATTCCGGGGCTGCGTTTTATTTAACGGGTTACCGGAGTTCCGGCTTGAAGCAGGAATAAGACTGAGATGGTTTTCAGTTAGTAAGAGTCTGACCCAAGCTGGAAGAAGCCATTAGCTGATTTTCCCCCTCTAAGAAGGTATAATTAAATTAGATAGTAATGGCTGAAAAGTAGACTTAATACAAGTACATTTCTTGAAACCGAATGTGAAAATATTATAATTAAATATAATTAAAGTGAAACACGATTCTTACGATAAAATACATGATAAAATTACGCAATACAATTATTATATAGTGTTCTTCCTATTTGTTTTTCAACCGGAATTTCTCTTTTACTTAATACGAAGAAATAGGCGTGATATTTTCAATACTGCACCCTCGAGTACCAATTAGATCGAGGCTCTCGAGAGGGGATCAAATAAGTGCAGACTAGCGTGATTGAGTGGCTCGACTAATATTAAAATCTTGTTCGTCTAACTAAAAGAGAAGAAAATTATGTTTTCACATTACTGTAATCTTATTTACTATATTTCATTATATTAAGATGATGAGATTGCTTGTTTGTTTGGACGGGCTCATCTCAGGAACTTACTGGTACGAGTTGAAAAAAAAAAATTATATTGTCCATTTATCGAGGAAGGTTATAAAAACAGAAGGTTATACAATAGGAGCTGAACAGCACGGGTAAAACTGCGGGAAGTAGCTAATAATATTTTTTTGGGATCGACGTTTATAAAATTTTTCAAAAAAATTTATAAATATTATAATTTTGTGAAGGTGTGTTTGTCTTTCAGATTGTAATACAGTGGTTTATATTACTTTTTTTGTATTTGGATATCTAGTGATATGGGCTACGTTTAATCCTTTAACTCTGTGGGTAAAATCACGTGCGAAAAGCTAGGTGAGCAGTTGACGGTCTTAACTTAATCTAGATATCATCAAAAAAACCTATATAAAAATATATTATAGGCAATAAAATAATCAAATATATACTTAAATAGGTAGTAAATAGAATACACTTAGTAACCATCTAATAAAAATCCAATGTTATTGCAGCTCTATAATTTTACGACCTCAAGCAAATGCGATAAGGATTAATTCGGTAGCCATGTTTTGATAAGATTATTTTACATATTATATTATTTATCAATGCGTTGTGTAATGGATGTGAGGCCATTTTCATGATAAATTAACTGTCGTTAGATAATTTTAAACCAATAATGATATTGTTTGCTATAATTTAGATGCAAGGCGATGCAAAGTTGATTTATAAATATGTACAAAATAATCCAGGAACACATAATTTTTATTGTGATGATGCATGCATGTAATGATGCATATCGAACAGTTGGATATATATACTCTATCAACGAGGAACACCTAAGTGTGGCAGAGCCATGCTTTGGCATGAATGAGCCGGCTCGACCGGAGTGATACCACGACCTTACAGAAAACCGACGTGAAACAATACTTGCATTGTGTTTCGTCATGTGAGTGAGGTTACCGGAGACCCAATTTATTATGGGGATAATTCCCCAATTTCCCGAATCCCTGAATCCGAATAATTCTCAAATTCCAAATCCCCAAAAGGCCGGTAACGGTAACCTCTGGTGTTTCGGGTGTCCATGTGCGGGCGACGATTGCTTACCATCAGGTGATCTGTTAGCTCGTTTACTGGCTCAATCCATGAAAAAAAACAAAACAAAGACATCTTTTCTTATTACCAATCACATAGAAATTCATACATATTTATGAAATTGTTGTGTACAGCGGTTCCAGCATTCCCGCAGAAGATTGTGGGCGGCTCATTAACTACTGTCGACCAGTACCCCACCATCGTGTCTCTACTGTTCTCATGGAGTGCCACCAGCTTCTTCCAAAATTGCGGCGGTACCATCCTCACCAACCGAGCTATTCTGACTGCTGCTCATTGTCCATTGTGAGTTTCACAAAACTTTTTATTATTTGCATGATTAATACCACGAAAATCATAACCATCTCGTGGATTTAACAAATAATTGTACCGCCGAGTGCAAGCGTCGGAGAAGGTGTAGCTTGATTCAAAAATATTGAGTTTTTTTAATCTATAATACTTAGAGTTCATACTATATTACCAGATACGCTATTATACAGATGCACCCTCCGTGCATCTGTATAATAGCGTATCTGGTGTAATTTAGGCGTACCGAAGACTTAGTCACATTGACGGTCTTAGACAAGGCATGTCTGTCGATGATGACTATCGAATCATACCTTATTGTGATGTTAAATTAGAATAATCTTTTCAGCCGTGATTCCCCCTTGAGCTGGCGTGTTCGTGCTGGATCTTCCTATGCCAACAGTGGTGGAACTGTCTACGCTTTAGATTCCATCATTATCAACCCCAACTACAACACATGGTCTATGGACTTTGATGTGGCTATTATGCGCACTAGCCAGGTCATCTCCTTCAACAGCGTAGTCAAAGCTGCTTCCATCGCTGGTCCTAACTACAATCTCGCTGATAACCAGGCTGTTTGGGCTGCTGGCTGGGGTACTACTTCTGTAAGTATCGAATGGATAAAGTGTACTAGTACTGTACTGTACTATTTCGTTAAGTTGAACTTTGACAGCTGACAGAAAAGTGTGAAGTTGTTGACCATGAGGCTTCTGATTTGATCTCCTATATTAGCTAAAAGTTGGTCCGTTGTTTATTGACCTAGATTCGGTATAAATTTGTAACCAATACATAGTTATAATAAGTTATCGAATCTACCACCTCAATCATAGCATAAGTAGAGTCTCGAAATATTAATATTAACATCTTGCATTTGCAGTCAGGCGGCCCTGCATCCGAACAGCTTCGTCATGTCCAGGTCTGGACTGTGAACCAAATCGCCTGCCGTGACCGATATGCTGCTGGTGGTGGTACCATTACCGACAACATGTTATGTTCTGGCGTCCTCGACGTTGGTGGTCGCGACCAGTGCCAGGGTGACTCTGGTGGTCCTCTCTACCACAACGGCATCGTTGTTGGTGTATGTTCCTGGGGCTTCGGTTGTGCACAACCCCAGTACCCTGGTGTAAACGCTCGTGTCTCCCGCTTCAGTTCTTGGATCCAGGCTAATGCTTAAATTATTATTAAATCGATTTTTATACTATTATTGTTTCATTGAACGGCCTTCTTTCCTTGAATAAATTAACTTAATGATTTGCATAGGTTACTTATGGGACTACGTGCTCCATCGTAGACCGCGTCATCGCATACCACCAGGCGAGATAGTGGTTAAACGTAGGCCCATCAAATATGTACAAATATATAACAAAATATGTATGAAAGTAGGCATCTTTGTTACTTAACTAGTTAGAGTGCCTTAAATGTTTAGATCGTACTTAGCACAGAGACAATCTAAAGTCTAAAATATGATGTAGTTTATTTTTGTTTCGTAATTACGGTTGCCAAGCGAATATTTTTAAATATAAATGGGCGTAATTGGAAGGCATAGCAGACTAAAATAATGATGAAATAAAACTCCAAATTACACTAAGATATCACTCGTAATGAGACTGAACAAGTTAGTAAGCAAGTCTCGAAATCATTTATTTATAGCTGTTCGGAATTGATTTATACGAAACCGAAGTGTTTAATTTATTTACAAAGCGCCAATTCGCAGTATTAATGCTTTGCTATTTACTGAAGTAAATCTTTGCTCTTAATAAACTTAAGATTAATTTGTTATACCTGACTTGATAATGTCTCCTAAGAAATACTAGTTTCTCGAAACGAAATAAATGTGTTTAAGAATGAAAGTTCTCAGTGGTAGCACAGACTTGAAACTATTTGGTATTGCCATCCTTACTATATAATATTATAAATGGGAAAGTGAGTTTGTTTGTTTGTTTGTTTGTTCCACTTTCACGCCGTAACTACTAAACCGATTGCTTTGAAATTTTGCAGACGTAAAGTTAGAAGTCTGGATTAAATAATAAGGTACTTTTCATCCCGGAAAAAATGTATATTATCGAGGGAAAACGAAATTATTGGTATAGATGGCGCTGTGTGTATCCTTACTATCCTTATTCTTATCCTTATCCTTACTTCCTTACTAATATTATAAATGGGAAAGTGAGTTTGTTTGTTTGTTTGTTTGTTTGTTTGTTCCACTTTCACGCCGTAACTACTAAACAGATTGCTTTGACATTTTGCAGACGTAAAGTTAGAAGTCTGGATTAAATAATAAGGTACTTTTTATCCCGGAAAAAATGTATATTATTATCGAGGGAAAACGAAATTATTGGTATAGATGGCGCTGTGTGTATTGGTATATGTCACATAGGCTACTTTTTATCCTTTTGTGACGCGAGCGAAGCCGCGGGTAAAAGCTAGTATTTGGTATCAATCATAATAGAAAAAAATGTAAATGGTTTACAGTAGCTGGTATAAATCCATTTGAAAAAGAACGTTAAAGGATACACAAGAAGGGGACTTTTAGCGTTGAAAACTCAAACTCATTTTACGTGTAATACTTAAGTGAGTCAACCAATCAACAGATGTATGTGTCATCCAGTAAAGTGTTTGTTTTAGAGCATTGACGTTCAAGCCTCTTATTCAAAAATGTACCGTACAATCAAGGGACTTGAAGATAAATTGCATGTTTACTTGTTCACTTTATCTTCAAAGTTAGAATACTACGTATTGCTTGATTGAACAATTACTTTATTTGCTTCAATTCGATGACAGTCGATCCATCACGTGTGCGATACTGGTGGCTATCTTGATAGATTAATTGTGACGTTTCAAATAGTCTGTATTTTGTTATGGGAATGGTAAAATTTCTAGGTTTGTAAAATTCTAAAAAGGTAAAATACTCATTACCTTATGCCCTCCCATAATGTCGGCAACGACCTTTTAACTGCTCTGGTGTTACGGGTGTCAATGGGCGGCGAGAATTGCTTACCATTACGTGTTCCATCTGCTCGTTTCCCATTTCTATTATATAAGAACCATATTACAATGCTAGGTATTTTAGTCAACAATAAAAAAACACTTTTTACTTATGACTACGCTCGTGTAAATAAGGAAAACTCTCCAGTTTGTCTCTTAAGAACTGGAATGTTAGGGGAACTAATTGAAATTATCTACAATAGATATATCGGAAACTATGATTCAGTGCATTGAGTATAAAATAATGTTAGCAACTAGGATTGCAAGTTGATGCATTAGTTGTCATCATGCGAGCAGTCTTTGTGTTGTTGGCTATCAGCCTAACTGCGGTTACTGGTAAGTTCTTTTTAAAACATTGTACCGATAGGAAGTGAATCATTAGTTGATAGATTCAATTGTTGATTCTCTAAAATATTTAACGACAACTTTAGGATTTGGTATCTGGTAACCTAACTCACACGGTGAAACAACATAAGCTTTGTGTTCTATGTCGATTTTCTGTGAGACCGTGGTATCACTTCAGTCGAGTCGGCTCATTTGTGTCGAAGCTTGAATCTCCTATTTAAAGTCTCCTCTTAAATACTTCTTTTTTTAATTGTCTGTTTGTTTCTTGTAGCTGTCCCTGCAAAGCAATCAGTAATTGTTGGAGGGTCGGTGGCCGTCATCAGCCAGTACCCTAGCGTCGTTGGTTTGTTATACTCAAGCAATGGGAATAACTTTTACGAAGTGTGTGTGGGTACTATTGTCACAACAAAGTCTATTCTAACCGCTGCACATTGTGTATAGTAAGTATAACTTACATTAATGACAGTACTTCTTCGACTTCGGGGAACAATTTATAGCAACTATTAACGGATGTAATTTATGTGCAGGCATAATGATGTTTGCACATAAATTATACGTTTATTGAGCTAAAACTTATTTCTTGTGTCTTTGAAAGCCTTAGTCTTGAATTTTCCCTGTTATTAAATAAAGATAAACAAAATGAATTTTGGTTGATGCGCCTCTGTGGAGTGACGGTACGAATGTATCAAAGTGATCCTATTTTTTTGATGCTTCATTACTTATTTCTTGACATATCTGAATGTCAGAAATGTAGATAAAGCATCGAGTATGTACAACAACCACCTTTGTCTTTGTCCAGTGGTGATGCAGTTTACAAATGGCGCGCCCGAGCCGGTTCGAGTTGGGCCAACAGTGGTGGCACTGTGTACGCTCTCAACTCCTTTACCATCCATCCTAGCTTCAACTTCCGAACTATGAACAATGACATCGCCATCTTGCGCACTCCTGTAATCATCACTAATTCTAACGTTGTTAAGCCTGCCTCTATTGCTGGCGTGAATTACAATCTACCCGACAATCAAGTTGTTTGGGCTGTTGGATGGGGAACTCCACTCGTAAGTATAATATTAAAATAAATAATTGGTTCTCTGAATTACCAAAGAGGTTTAGATTGACGTATCCGACTTTTTCGGGAATTAAAGATGTGATTAATCTGTTTATGGTAACTTCACAGGTTGGTGCAGCCCCGGGTGAGCAGCTTCGTCACATCCAAGCTTGGACTATCAACCAGAACACATGTGCCTCCAGTTATGCTGCCTTCGGAGCAAATGTGACTGCGAACATGTTGTGTTTCGGCTGGCCGAAAGGCGGTGCTCGCGACCAATGCCAGGGTGACTCCGGTGGCCCAGTCTATCATAATGGCATTTTGGTCGGGATTAGTTCATGGGGTTATGGTTGCGCTAATGCTGCCTACCCTGGAGTCAATACTCGCATTTCCAAACTGGCTTCATGGATTCAAACTAATGCTTAATTTAATGACCTAAAGATCTGTTTCAAGATATATTTATTCTTGTTTATTTGGTGTAATTTTTTCGTAAGTTAGCAATTAATAAAGTTAAGTTTTAAACTAATAAAAACATTTATTTTACTACCTGCCCATTTATTTTATGTGTCATAATGTTATTATGTAAACTAACTTATACCTATGAAGACACACACGAGTAACTGACATATCTACCTACGAAGGCAATGTAAATAAGGAAAATTCTCAAGTAAATAGATAAAACTTTCTAATTGGACAAGGACTCCAAACAAATGTTTAGTAGAGTAGTAATTGAAATTATATATCATAGTAACATACGTCTATGAATCAATGCAGTTTGTATAAGTAATGTTAGCGACTAGAATTGTGCAGTAGTTGTCATCATGAGAGCAGTCTCTGTGTTAGTGGCTTTAGGCCTATCTGTAGTAGCTGGTAAGTTTTTTTCTAAATATTACTGTAAAACTATTGCGTGAATTATTTTATAACTATGTTAGTTTATCTTTTTCTGAAACATATTTTCTTGGAAAAAGTAGCATATTATTTAACATTGCTCGTTCCTTCATAAAATGATGTGGATTTTTTATAAAAATTGTGCCAAATATTGTTTCTGTCTCGTTGGTGTAAAAGATATTTTATATCACGACTATATTAAACAGAAAAAAATATACAAAATGAGTTTCCATAAACTCATTGCCTCGTTGGCCGAGTGGTCGCAAGTACGACTGCCGGGCAAGGGGTCTCGGGTTCGATACCCGGGCCGGACAAAGTATTACTGGGTTTTAAAAATCTCAGTAGTAGCACGGAGTCTGAAAATGTGCCCGTTATATGGCAATAGGCTCACCCCCTATTATATGGGACTCATAACATAAATAGTGAAAAGTGGGTGTTACATTGTACAGTGGCATTAAGTGCCGAAATGTGCACCTCTGCCTGCCCCTTCGGAGATAAAAAGGCGTGATGTTATGTTATGTTAGTTTCCAGAACAATCTTCTAGAAGTTTGCATTAAACAGTAAAATATAATAAATCGATATAATTAATTACATGTGACTGCCATCAATTAACTAAAATCTCGGTCATAAACGTTTAAATCCTTTCTAATCTATATTTTGATAACATTTTGATATTCGTTTCCAAGAACATTTTTCTACCTACAATAATATTAGTAGGTGTATTGTACCACTCCAAAGTAACTCACTCTAGCAAAGTTTAATGAACTTTTAGTTTTTAATGGTTTATTTATTAATGGTATTAGGATTTAACTCGTCGAGTACCGTCATTATAGACAAAATTATAGAACAATATGTTGCGGTCACCAGTGACCGCTTGGTGTTTGACAGTTTAAATTAATTTTTTAATGGTATTCGGATTTCAACTGCTTCAAAACTGAAAAATATAATTATTAATATCCAAAATCATTATATTTTCTGTATTTCCAGAATGTGCAAATTATATTAAGTACTTTAAACTCTGTATCGAAATCCTTTGTTAATATAGTATAAACCACTAAACTAATGAAGTTTTTTCTTTTTTTTTTCTGGTCGTAATATAAAAAATACAATAGTCCTCTAATAGATAGTTTGTTGTCTAACTTAACATGACGTAACTACTCAGGAAAATCATGGAACATAGTATTTAATGTTAAAATAACAAAGAACATGAATGTATGACGGCTGATAGGATGCCCTCTTTGAGGAGTGGCTTGAGTGACGCCACGTCGTCCTGACCAACAGCCGAACCCAGATGCTTGAATTCATTGAATAAGTATAGGTAAATTATATTTTAAGTATAATTTTAGTCAACAATCCTAATTTACGGTCTGTTCTTAGTAAATACCACGGTAATACAGTAATTTAAACCTTGTGTTTTAGCAATACCTTGCCAAGTTATCAGTAATTTGAACATTGAAGAGACATTGTATTTATTAACTCGTCGAGCACCGTCATTATAGACACAATTAAAGAACAATAGGTTGCGGTCACCGGTGACCGCTTGGTGTTTGACAGTTTAATGTTATTTCTTTCTGACCTTTATTTCTTATCGTTGAAATGTCTTAACAAAGCATTACGAATATTTATGAATATTACCAACGCATTGCAGGTAACCAGATTATGTTGATACTTTAATCCAACGCTTTGCTTATGACATATTGTTCACGTTTTTATAATAAATTCCAAATACTGGTACTGGTTTCAAGTACTTGTTTCTTTGGTTCTCAGATTATGGTAAATATGGTATTTAATTTTGGATAAGAAGTACAATTTTAAAAGCACCTCATCAAAAAGAGCATGACAACCTGAAATGAATCGTAGGAAGTTTATTTTAAAATCTTCTATTTGTTCCTTGCAGCAGTCCCTATGAACATTTTAGGGATTGTGGGCGGGGGAGAGACCGTCATCAGTAAATACCCTAGCATCGTTAGTTTATTGTACTCAGGCGATGGAAACAACTTCAACCAAGTATGTGTGGGCACCATCGTCAATTCGAAGTCTATAGTAACTGCTGCACATTGTGTATAGTAAGTACCGATACTTTTAAGTATGAACAAAGAAACTGGCGTGTGAGTACCCGAAGAAGTTCGAAGAATGTAACGAAAGAGTATTGTATTAATTTTGGGATCCAGCATGACTTTTCGATTGCAAAGTACATTACGATATACTTTTTTACTTATTGTATTTCAAACCAGTCACAATGACATCTAGAAAAATTTTAGTACCAACTAACTAAAAGGACCAATTTCTAACTAATATGTCCTAAAACTTTTAAATATATATAAGGCATTAACCCATGGTATACCGAAAATAGACGCAAGATCAATATGTTTTCTGTTGTGTCTTATATACCGGCAGATTAGAGGTTAAAAACATTAAATATTTTTCTATTTCGCCAGTGGTGATGCAGTCTACAAATGGCGCGCTCGAGTTGGTTCGAGTTTGGCCAACAGTGGAGGCTACGTGTATACTTTCAACTCCTTTACCATCCATGCCAGCTTCAACACTCGAACTATGAACAATGACATTGCTATCTTACACCCTGCTACTGACATCGCCTTTACAATTGGTAACGTCGTTAAACCTGCCTTTATTGCTGGTTCGAAATACAACCTTCCTGTCAATGACATTGTCTGGGCTGCTGGATGGGGATCTGCAGTTGTAAGTATATTTACCTATGTACTGAGTACCGTTGAATATAGTTTTTTTTGTTAGACATAGTGAACACTTGTTAGAAATAAGTTTGAATATAGAACCAGATAATTATCTTAGCCAATATCTGACAACAAATCTATGTTATTAACACGAATTTTATGTATCGGAGAAAGTCAAGAGTAACATAATTTGCACACCGCATTATGATTAACTATTATTATCCTATCATTCCTACCCATTTGGGAAAGTTAATTTAAATTAAGCAGTTTATGGCGTCAAACAGGTTGGTGCAGCCCCAGGTGAGCAGCTTCGTCACATCCAAGGTCGGGTCATCAGCGAGTATACTTGCTCAGCCAAGTATGCTGCAGTCGGTGCCAATGTGACTAACAACATGTTGTGTTTCGGTTGGCCCTATGGTGTGTCTCGCGACCGGTGTCTCGGTGACTCTGGGAGCCCAGTATATCATAAAAAAATTCTGGTCGGGATCAGTTCATGGGGTTACGGTTGCGATATTCCTGGCTACCATGGAGTCAATACTCGAATTTCCAAACTATCTAGATGGATTCTAGAAAACTCGCCAGTTTTTTAATCTACCAGACTAGAAAAGACTGGCAACGCACTTATAACTGGACACTAATGTAGCGATTGTTTATGAGTGAGTTTTGATCCCTATTAAAATATGTTTGGGATAATTGATCCCGATGACCGATGAGTTCAAAATTTTAAGACATACTTTTATAGGTACCTAGGTGTTTCTGCAATATTGATACACATAATGTTCGCTGCTCAATACGTCTAAGTCTACTTGGACTAAGTTAAAGTAACTAAGTTACTCAACTTGCCTTTTCTTTAAGTATTAAATCAATAACAGTAATAACACAATTCTTTTAAAGTAGTATTTATTTGAAAAATTGTCATATTTATTAATATTTTATTATAAGTTTGTATGAAGTCATAAAATTATTAGGTAAAATAAAAATTTCCCTCATAAAATGACTTGGAAAAATTCTTAGAAATCAATTCGTACTAAGGAATTTCCAATAAATGTATACGTATTCAAATCTAATTTTATTTTTCGCTAATTGGGATATTCCAACTGGGTTTTCCAATGATAATTTATCAAGGTATTAATTTTAATTGCAAGATAATATATATAATCTGATATTAAAGGTCTTTGTTCACTATGTACATTTCCTGACTTTAATTTTACGAATATTAGTGATTGGTGAAAATATACCTGGAGTCTAGGCGAGTCTAGAATTTGCACCGTCGTATATATTTAAGATACAAACTATTATACAATATATTGTTGATTCGACAGAAGACGATGAGTTTTGGAAAATAAAGCTTTATAAAAGTCAGTTACGTATTAATTACATGTTTGTTTTCTTCTTATTAAACACCTTGTAGAGTAAACTCTAAAAAACTGATTACATAAATTATATTGATATTATTGGTATCTCATGTAAATTCATTTCTAATATATATGTAATTTGTCATCGATGTGAAAGAAGCTATTAATTCTTTTTAAACTTTAATGTGAGTGAGGTTATCGGACGCTCAACTACCCCTCCCAATCCCCGAATCCCCAACAACCCTCAAATGCCTAATCCCCAAGAGGTCGGCAACGTATTTGTAACGTATTTGGTGTTTCAAGTGCCCATGGGCGACACCGATTGCTCACCATCAGGTGATCCGTCTTCTCGTTTACCGGATTATTCCGTAAAAAAATATTTAAATTGTTGTATAAAGTTTGTGAAGGGCAACGATTCATTTACGTTAACGTACTTACTATTTTAAGAAGCCATACTTAAATAGTACATTTTACATTCTTTTGCAAATTAAATTATTATTATAAAGTAAGAGCGGGCAAAATATATATAATCAAATATTAATTTCAACAGCTAATTGACAATATATCTAAGTAAACACGAATTTACGAATT